ATTAAGATCAATTCTATACAAATTCTTTAAAAATCTTAAGGGACTACTTTCTAGCTCATTCTATGAAAGGACAGAATAGTATCAATGCCTGATACAATGAAACCAGACTAAGATGCTATATGATGTTGTATGAAAAGGAAACTACAGGCAACATTCCTCATGAACATAGCTGCAAAAATTCTTAAGAAAACTGCTAGCAAATTCTCTCTAACAATAGAACAAAAGGATAATACATCATGACTAAGTGGGGCCCATCCCAAGCACGCATATAAACTAAAAAAGAAAATCCTACTATCATCTCCATAAAGAGAAAGCATTTGACAATAACATACAATCTTAATGAAAACTGTCAATAAGTACAAAGCAGAACTCCCTCGGCCTGGAAAGGGGCACCTACAAAAAAAGCTATAACTAACATGGTCTGAATGTTTAATCCCCAAGATCAGAAACAAGAAAGGGATATTAATTTTCACCATTTGTAATCTATATTGTACTGGAAATTCTTAGTGTTATCAGGCAAGGAAAAGAAAAGATATTCCTATCAGAAAAAAAAAAGAACAGTAATAGTCTTTATTTGCAGACAACATAATCATTTGTAGAAAATGTATGGGAATCTCTCCCTAAACACAATGATGAGTGAGTTCTATCAAGCTTGTAGTAGGGTGCAACACCCCCAAACATAAAAACATCAAATGCTTCTATATAAGAGCAAGACGTTATTGGAAATTTTAAATTCCAAATGCAAACCAGTCACATTAACATTAGAATGTAAAATATTTAACAAAAATGTGAAAGATCTGTATAATAAAAAGTACAATATAAATTAGTGCTTAGAGAAATTAAAGAAAATCTTAAGAGATAGACCTTGTTGATGAACCAGAAGACTCAATATTATAAAGATTTCAATTTTTCCCAAATTGATCTATAAATGCAAAATAATCCCAATAAGAATCTCAGCAGGCCCTTGAAATAATGAGACCAACAGACTGATTCTAAAATTCATATGGAAATGAAAACAAAACAACCCTAGGATATGCAAAACAACAGAAAAAACAAAGTTTAGAATGAGGGGGAGGAGACCCCCAAAGCTCATCTGTAGGTAATTGGACATCCCCTTACAGAAGGGTCATGGGGAGGTGCAGTATAGAACTGACGAAACATACAACTTTCTTTTAGTTCGTTAATGCTTCCCCTTTCCCACCCCCCATCACGACCCCAATTCTACCTTACAAATCTGGCTAGACCAGAGCATGTACACAGGTACAGATAAAAGCTGGAAAAACAGGGAATCCAGGACAGATAAACCCCTCAGGACCAATATTGAGAGTTGCCCTAACAAGAAGATAAGGGGAAGGTGGGGAGAGAAAGGGAAACCGATCACAATGATCTAACTATAACTCCCTCCCCCAGTGGGATGGACAACAGAAAAGTGAGTGAAGGGAGACATTGTTCAGTGTTAAGACATGAAAAAAAAAATTATAAACTATCATGGGTTCATGATGGAGGGAGGGAGGGTTGGGGAGGGAGGTGGAAAAATGACACACTGTGCGGGGCCAGCCCCAATCCCAACTACGTGGACAGCCACCCCTACCCCCTGAAGAATTTACTTCAGAGGACAGCACTGAAGCTACAGCTCAGGGAGAGGGACATGTCTGATCAGAGCACAGGAGAGCAAATGAAGGGGGAGGAATAGAGAATGGAGCACATCCTGGCCCGCCAAGCCTTGAGGAGGATATTCCTGCTCAGAGCAGCCAATGTACAGAGAGGACCAAAGGGCCAGCCCCACTATGAGACACACCATCCCTCACTGACCCATAGTCCTACAGGGGACAACACTGGAGACACAGTGTAGGAACTGCGCCCGATCTGACCCCATCACACCAAGGGGAACAAAGCAAGAAAGCCACTAGGGAGTACCAAAAACAGACTTTGTGACCAGGATGCAACAACCCAATCAGGCTCTACTGAAAAACATTCCTAAAGGTCAACAAACAGACCTTGAACTATTTACAGGCTTTTCTTTGTTTTGTCATTGGTTTTTTATTGTTGTTTTGTTTTCTTTTGTTGCTTTGTTTTGCTCTGTCTTGTTTTTTGTGCATATTATTTGCTCTGCAGGTCTATCTAGATAAAACAGGCTGGATAAACAATCTGGAGGAGAAAACATCGGACAGATCGCTCAGTGGGAACATGGGAGATGGGAAAGTGGGGGAAAGGAAGTAGTGTTAACAAACCCAGGGACAGGGAACAACAAGTGATCCAAAATTAGTGGCAAGGAGGGTGCGAGAGGCCTGGTAGGGATTGATCAAGGGCAATGTAACTGAGAAAAATTACTGAAATCCAAATGAAGGCTGAGCATGATAGTGGGACAAGAGGAAAGTAAATGGAAATAGAGGAAAGAACTAGGAGGCAAAAGGCATTTATAGAGATCTAAATACAGGTATGTACATATGTAAATATATTTATATATGATGATGGGGAAATAGATCTACGTGCATTTATTTATAGGTTTAGTATTAAGGTAGCAGGATGGACATTGGGCCTCCACACAAGTACTTCCTCAATGCAAGAACACTTTGTTCTATTGAACAGGCATTCCATGATGCTCACCTCACCAAAACTATCGCTGAAGACAAATAGGGTGCATAAGCAAATGTGGTGAAGAAAGCTGATGGTGCCCTGCTATCAAAAGATGTAGCATCAAGGGTCTTAAAGGCTTGAAGGTAATAAACAAACAGCCACCTAGTTCAGAAGCTCAGATGTCTCTGGGCCTCAAACACATGTTTTGTATGATTTCAATGAGGAGGTAAAAACATTTTACATTTACCTCCAAAAATTCAATGCTATGTCCTTAAGGAAAAGGCTACTAATACGTTTTATATCTTTAGATCATTCACGTCTTAGATTTTTACAAAGAATTTCTCTTTTGTTAAAAATTGACTAGCTACTACGAATTCCCACTCATTTTTTTGGGTCTGGGCATGCACATTTCTTACCTAATATTAAACAAACACTTCTATGCTTGTTTCATCACTCTTTCAATAATTTATTATATTTAGATAAACTTAATACGATGTATTATAGATTATACTGTAAATAATGCACATTTCAGTAATCATTACTCTATCCTCTGAACCCTGTACTTATTAGGGCACAACAATCTTTATTTTATCTATCTGTTGGTACTCCTTACTCCATTTCTTGCTTTACATAGATATGAACTAAGTGGGGGCGGGGTGGAGTGGGTTATGAGCCTACTCATCTCGATAATAATTGTACTGCTAATACAATTTTAATCAATAATCATTTGTCTCAGTATATAATGTGTCTTAATTAACCATGTAATGATAATTTTAATAAGCTGATCCAAAAGAAAAAATTCAACATAAGTTACACAAAATTAAAAACAAAACAAAACTACTTTGACTTCAATTAAGATACATTACTTTTGTTGTAGAAAACTGAAAGAAATAAGGCTTTCAGAACAAAAATACATCATATTAGGAAAATATTCTGTGGGAAAGTATAATGGGAATACAATTCAAGAATAAAACTTACGTAAAATTTCTGACTCAAGAAAAATTAATGTTATAAGTGTACAAGTCAGTCAGTGGCCTTTAGAACATTAAAAGCTGTACAATTATCACCACTCTCTAATTCTAGAACATGTTCATCATTCTATAAAGAAATACCATAGATTGTGCAGAAGAAAAAAAGAAATACTATTAATAGGCATTTCCCATTAACTCCTTTTTCTAGTACCTGGCAACTACAACTACTTTCTGTCTTTAAGGATTTATTGATTCTGAACACTTCTTTGATAAAATGGAATTATGGATCCAAAATAGTTGGTCAGGAAAGTATACTATCCAAACCCTCTAGAACAAAGACTTGGGAAACCAAATGAAACAAATACAGATGACAATCCTGGAACTCAGAGCTAAGGAAAGACTGGAGTAGAATACCCAGGAGACCAAAATACTGAACAAAAACTGTGAACAAGGAGGTGAAAACAGCCAATTAACGCAGTACAGACATTTTTAGTTATTACAAGTAATTACAAGTATTCCATCAGAGTAGGAGCCAGTAAGCTGGTGATCAGTGATGAGTGAATTATGACCTTTCTCCTTGCCTAGCACCATCTTCCAGAGATCAGAGGTATAACCCCAACTCTCCAGCCCACCACCAGTTGCAACCTTACTTCTTTGGATTTTTTCCTAGTTCTCCCCTTTTGTGCTCCATTTTCTTTTCCTGTTTTTTTTTTTTTTCCCTTCCTCTTGCTCTTTTTCTTTTTAGATTCTGCACAACAGGTATTCCCCATGGGCAGGCCTTCATGGTGGGCCGTGCCTGCTGCCCCACCCTGTCCAAGTGGAGGTGCAGTGCACACTCCCTCGGAAGGAGTGTTGCATTCACTTTCACCAGTGTTGTGCTGTATTCTTTATTTTTAAATTCTTCCTTCTCTCCTCCCTTTTTTGTTCCTCTTGCCTTTTTCTGCAATGCTGTGATCCTGCAGATCACAAAGAACAGTGTGTTTCTCCCTCCACCCAAATGAGCGCCACATTCCTGTTGCAGTTGTTTCACAATTAACAAGTCCGTTTTCCTGTAATGACCGCCGCGCCCCCCAATCCAACTTTCTGCTCAACTCTTAGCTAAGCTCCTGTTTTTCTTCCTTTTGTCCCATTTTCCTTTTTTTAATCCAGTTGCGTGGGTAGCCCACACCTCACCACCTCTGTCAGTGGTATCTGCCCCTGACCCTCTGTGTTGGCAGTACAAATTCCCACAGAAGGAACACCCCATTTCCACAGCAGTCAGGTTTGATTTTTTCCCCTTTTTTTAAGACTACCATTTCCTCCCTTGCCTTTTCCTTCCTCTTCTGAACCTCTTCAACCCCAAATTTTTCTCTTTGCCCAGTAGTTGGGAGACAGCAACACTACCCACACCTGTTTGTCTGTTGCCCCCCACCCCCGACCCGACCCCCGGCTTGCCCTTTAGCAATCACCTACCTGCTGCAGCACCACTGGATGGACAACAGATAACAGGCAACACCCAGCCTGCCCTCAGATGCTCTGCATGATCAGCACTCAGACTCAGATTCACACTATTGGCCGCAACCAAATCCACCTGGAGACAGGTAGACAGGTAGTGAGTGGCACAGTGCTGTCAAATTACTGAACAGAGTAACATATCACCCTGCTGCATGGATATATTCAAACAAAAAATCAAGGTGAAGCAAAGTAATATACAATCAGCAAATTAATACAACACTACAATGTCTCAAAGACAACAGTTAACTTCAAATCACACCCAAAAAAATCAGAACACGTTATCTTAAACAAATAGCCAAAATACAGGGCCAGAAAACCTTCTGCAGGAACAAATCCTATTAAACTTCCTGATAAGAAAAGTTCAAAATATAATTATACTTTATTGACAGAAAGTTCAAGAAAAACACAAGACAAACTTGAAGAATTAAGAAGAAAAAATACAAGAACTGACAAATGAAATATTTGAAACCACACACAAAAAGTACATAGAAATGCAGAAGATTAAAAGTAAAACTTCAGAAATAAGTAATGCCCTAGAAGGACAAGTACAACTCAGTTACTAGAAGACAGAATTAGCATGATTAAAGACAACCTCATAATATTAATCTGAGGAACAATCAGAAAAGATTTTAAAAAATGAAGAAAGCCTAAGAAGTATGTAAGACACCGTTAAATTTATAATTTACCTGTGATCAAAATTCAAGAAGCAGCATGGGGAAGGGGGAGAGCAAAAGGGGTTAAAAAGGAGACAGAAAACAGGGAGAACAAAATAATAATAATTTATAAATTATCAAGGGTTTGTGTGTGGGGGGGGACAGTAGCGAGGGGGGGGGGGAATAGGAGCTGATACCAAAAGCTCAAGTAGAAAGAAAACTGCAGTGAATGAGATGAAACAAAATGTGTATGAACTTCTGAATGTTAAACTGATTAAGTGCTCTATAAATCTTCACCCAATTACTAATAGTCTTAAGAAAGCAAAATAAAAAAAGCCTGAATGCAAAAACTAGCAAAAGAGACAAAGAAGGACATCATATAGTAATTAAAAGGTCAGACAAGTGGACATAACCATAATAAGTATCTACGTGCCCAATGAAAGAGCCCCCAAACACACATCAAACTTTAACAGATTCCAAAAGAGAAATTCCACAATAGACATTAGCAGCTAGATAGTAACTCAATAGACATTACCAGCTAGATAGTAACTCAACAAAGATACGAAGATTTAAACAACATAACTAACCAACTATACCTCACAAATGTATACCGAACACACAACAAACAGCACAGTATATATTATTTTCTAGTGCTCTCTCCAAACGACCATATATTAGGCTATAAGCAAAGGTCAATAACTATTTTAATGGAAATACTAAAAAGTATCATCTCAGATCACAATGCTATAAAATTGAAACCAACAACAAGATCAAGAGAGGAAAAAGCAAATGCATGGAAACTAAGTAAAATTCTACTTAAAAACTACTTCATGAAAGAATTAATAAACTGGACAGAACTACTGGAAAATGTAACAAAGTTTGTAGAAGCAAAAATGCAAATAACACGAGTTAAAAAAAAGAAGTAGGTATGTTGAACAGAACCCATTGAAACAAAAAGATACAAGAATACCATAAAGAAAAAAAAAAAGAATACCATAAAGAACTATATGCCAATAAAATATGAAACCTAAATAGGAACATTGCAAGAAACACTACCTACACCCAAACTATCACAATCTGAAATAGTATAAATTAAAAAAATATTAAACAGGTCATTTAAAACTCCCAACCATGCTACAGCAAAGTGTGGTAAACAGATCAGAGGGTGACTAGTTCACAGAATAGTGTCTGGGGTCTCAAAGGTCTGTCTTAAAATAAGCATCCAAAAAAAACCCCCAAAAACCCAAGCAGCCACCTAAGTGAGACATCAATGAAGTGCACATGGAAGATGCACACTAACCTGTGTGATTCAAGGGTTGGAAATAATCAAACCCAAATCCAAAGGAAAGAATGATATCAAAGTTTAAATTGTGAATACCTGAGGTCTGGAGAAGTCTATGAATGACAGTGGAAGCCCAAAAACCATTTGCTTGGTCTCATGGATTAAACCTCAGCTGAACCTCCTCAGACCACAGTTCAAGGATGTGACTATGTCTGTCTTTCTATCAGATAAGATAGCAGTAAGAGGTTCCCCCCCCCACACACACACACACACACGCACAAATAAGACTAGAAAAAGCTCTGCTAGGAGGAGCTTTCGCAGTACACATTTCTGCCCCAGATAGACGAGCATCAAGCAACTCGCTCTGGGTTAGTGCCCTCAGTGGCCTCGCCTGAAAAGGTTCTCTCTGGCCACAGTGAATTTTTTTGTAAAATGAGTTTCACTTGAATCTTGTTTTTTGTGATGGATTTAAGAAAACAGCATGAGGCTGTGAAATTTTTGAGCAGAAACTAGTGTGATATTGAACACAACTTACAAGGACAGTGTTAAAGGTAAAACTCAAGTGGTTTTCTGTTTCCAAAAAAGGTAACATGTATATAGATGACAAAACTCATTCTGGACACCTGTCAACTTCCTGAATGGACGAAAATGCTGACTCGTAGTGCATATGGAATTGGTTCCCGAGGTCATACTGTTAATCAAGCTTTCTATTTAGAGGTTCTGAAAAGATTGCATAAGAGAGTACAAAAAAGGCTTGATTTGTGGCACACAGAGGACTGGTTATGCCACCATGACAATGTACCTGCTCATGCAGCTATCTCAGTGCACCAGATTTTGTCAAAAAACAAAACAAAAAACAGTATGCCTCTCTCCCCCCATGCAACTTACTCACCTGGCTTCCCTCCTTGAGGCATGTTTTTGTTTGTGCAAAAGATGAGGGACATAAAAGGACAATGATTTGAAAACAAAAGAGGTGAAAAAAAACGAGGGCAGTGTCATCAGCCATCCGAACAGGTGAATTTGAAAAATGTTTCCAAGAATTGAATCCCAGATTTGATAAACGTATTAAGTATAATGGAGAGTACTTTGAAGTTGATATTGTTTTGTAAAAAAAAAAAAAAATTAAATACATAGCTTTTGGGCGGAAAATTGTTTTTTGGGGGTGGGTGTCCCCTCATATAAAGTTGATTATGGCCGATGTTGTTAGATTAAAATATAATTTCTTATCATTTGACCTCCCACTTGACAATTTTTATTACTTTCTGCTATCTTTTTACTGAGGTCTTTCTGTTTTGTCTAGTCCTTGTTCTTAGTTTGCCTCCTGTTTGTATTTTGTCTGATTTTCTGTATATGAAACCTAGAATAGGTAGATTTATGGACAGTAACTGGATTAAAAATTGCTTAGGGGCCTTCAACCCAGTGCTCCAGGATGTGAATGCAACATGCCGGCGTGGAGTAGGGAACCAGTGGAGACGTCTGAGGGGCCGGCCCCAATCCCAACTACTACATGGACACCAGCCCCACCACCCCCAGAAGAATTTATTTCAAAGGAAGGCACTGAATCTGCAGCTGAGAGGGACATATCTGATCAGAGCACGGGAGCAAATGAAGGTGGAGGTGGAGAGAGTGAAATGAAGCACATCATGGCCCAACAAGCCTTGAGGAAGATGTTCCCGATTAGAGCAGCCAGACCACAGAGAGGACCACATAGCCGGCCTCACTATGAGACATGATTTCCCTCACTGACCCATTGCCCTACAGGGTCAACACCGGATACACAGTGTGGGAATTGCACTCGATTGGATCCTGCCATATGGACGCAAATGCTAAGGGGGTGCAACAGAACAGCAAGAGAATGGAGCAGGAGGTCCCCAGGGAACAGCAAGAGAATGGAGCAGGAGGTCCCCAGGGAACAGCAAGAGAATGGAGCAGGAGGTCCCCAAAGAAGGTGAACTTTGGGGCCAGGGTATGGTGCCCCAAAAGACTGGACTGGAAAACAGTCCTAAAGCCCAACAAACAGTTCTTGAACTAACTACAAGCTTTTCTTTCTTGTTGTGTTTGTTTTGTGTTTTTGTTATTGGTTTGTTGCAGTTGTTTTGTTGTATATTATTGCATGGTTTTGCTCTGTCTTGTTTTTGTGCATGTTATTATCTCTGCAGGTCTGTCTAAATAAGATAGGCTGGATGAACAATCTGGAGGAGAAAACACTGGGACCGACAGTTCCAGGGGGACATGGGAGAGGAGGTGGGGGAAAGGAAGTGGTGTTAACAAACCCAGGGAAAAGGGAACAACAAGAGATCCAAATCCGTTAGGAGGGTGCAGCAGATCTGGTAGGGCATGATCAAGGGTCATGTAACCAAGAGGAATTACTGAAACCCAAATGAAAACTGAGCATGATAGTGGGACAAGAGGAAAGTCAAAGGAAACAGAGGAAAGAGCTATAAGACAAAGAACATTTATAGAGGTCTAAATAAAGGCATGTTCATATGCAAATACATTTATATATGATGGGGAAATAGACCTATGTGCCTATATTTATAGGTTTAGTATTAAGGTAGCAAAAGAAAGGACATTGGACCTTCACTCAAGTACTCTCTGAATGTAAGAATACTTTCTTCTATTAAATTGGCATTCTATGATGCTCACCTTCCCGACACAACCACTGAAGACAAAGCTTAGGGTAAATAAGAAAATTTGGTGAAGAAAGCTGATAGTGCCCAGCTATCAAAAGATATAGCATCTGAGTGCTCTTCTGGCTTAGTGGTTACACGTTGTACTGCTACACACAAGATATAGCATCTGGGGTCTTAAAGGCTTGAAGGTAAAAAAGCGGCCATCT